ACGATGTAAATAAAAATCGATATTTTTTTTATAATAACTGTTTACCAGTCTTAACATAGTTCACACATTCATCTGAGGATGCTATATCCCTGTAAACTTCCTTATCATCTTTTCACCAAAATAGAAATAAAAAGAAATTATTGCATTATTGTAACGTATTTGAATAACGTTAAAATTATTAAATATTTTCACTTACCTGATGGTAAAGTTTGTCCTTTTCTAACCAAATGCAATCCATATTGTTCTCGGATTTTATTTCTCAATGCTCTTGGTAACTTTTCCAACAAATGAGCACGAGCTTTGGGATTATCGTCTTGCTATTTTATAACGAGAAACTTCTGTATTGTTACCTTTTCGATAAAAGCATAAAATTATCACCAATCTTTGAGTTTATGTATGGTAACATGTAGCAATCGGCTATACCTGAAGTTTGCTGTTGCTTACAAATGCAACATTTGAAAACCCTTGAATCAATGATCCATATAATATCTTAAAAGTATCTGCCTGTCTTGAAACTATATTTTTTATTTTATGTGGATTCTCTCCAACATATTTACGAAAGTCACCTGTAAGAAAAATAAAAAATATATATAAATATCAATGGGAATATAAAACTATTATAAAAATAACTCATGAAAATCAGAATCATTTAACCTTCATAAGAAAGTCCCGTAATTGTTAAGTAAAGTTGCTCTTCCGAGAAATCTTTTGGAAGCATAAGCAAAGCCGTTCTCAAGGCGTTTGCCAGATTTACTTGTTGCGATAAACGAACACGTGCATCGTCTTGTAATATTTTTATCTAACGATAATTCATTTTACATAAATATTTGTTTTTTAATACATACTTAGAATTAATATAAATTTTTACATTAAAAATCATACATAAAATCATAATTATAATTACAGGTTTGTGCATCCTTCCTGCAACATAAAGTGTTTCCCAATCCATGAGATCCTTGCATAACTTATCAACTGAAATTACTCCGTATTTAATTTCCTATACATTGGAAAAAACGATAAGAAATTATAAAATTTATAAAAATTTTTTTGAGAATCAAATAATAAAAATCTCCATTAATTTTTATTACATACCATTCCATTCATTTCCACCTGTGGATTAAAATAAATGCCGGCTCCAAAATCATTTTGTAAAATTGATACAGCTCGGCTACCGAGTGTTCCCATGAAAGAATAATGATTTCTATGTTTATTTAAATTTAAAGAATGCCAATGTTGAGAATGACTAACGGCAAAAATAAAATCCACCATCGGTTTGGGCTATTAAAAAAAGGTACAAACAAATACATTTTCTTTGATGAATATATAAAAAATAAAAGATATTTAAAAATTTTTTATTCAAATGTATTTACGTTTCAGATTATACCTCTAATTCGTAACCTTTTTGTGGAAATACACCACTACCATATGCAAAAGAATATCTTATAGGCGCATTGAAATTAAGTAATATTTTCCTTAAACTTTCTTTAAATTCATCATCAATAGGTAAATGCTGATTTTTTCCGAAATTTGGTGAAAGACGGAACGAATTTTCGGATTTATTTTGATATTGTGAAGTTTCATATGGTGTATCTTTTGCCGACTCAGGGGATGTGGGACGGGCAAGAGTAGCTGCTTTAGGCATAGTAGTAGATAAAAATCTAACCGAGGAAATGCTTATAAATTTGGATGATTGATGGATTAACATCTTAGTGAATTTTAAGCAGAAAGAATTAATTTCCCAATTTTTGTAACGTTAATAAGGGTTATATAAGTTTTACACATGATTGCGCAGACACACACAGGAAATTCGATTGATTGGCTGATGTAGATCAATTGCCCGGGTAACGTAGTGCACTGACCAAATAGTACCCTAGCCATGGCGAAAAAAAATTGGCAGATCACGTGCTGTAGATCACATTTGGCAGATTTCTATTGGACGC